GTGCCGCTGCTGATAAAAACAGAATTGCCAACAAGATCGCCAACGTCCGGTAACGGATATGGCACAAGAAGAAGAAGAAGGTGCAAACTGAGGTGGTGGGGATTGTACTTAGAACCCAGCTTGCATTAAAAATGGGTTCAAAATAGCTTTGTTTAAACCTCAAAACTTCAAAAATGCGTGGAGCATTTTGGCAATCAGAACTTCTGGACACTGCAAGGGGCATTTTGAACATAGAACATGGTTCAAATTCCAAGCTTTTAGACAGCCCTACTTTTTTCCCTTTACATTTTCATACAAAGGAAATTTGTTCCCTACTAATTTTAAAACACTGATTGGTCATTTCCCCATCCTAAAATATCCTGACATGCATGCTAATTTATTACCTTGGTTTCTGTGTAAATAACCTGTCTGTATAGAGATAATGGAAAAGGGGCCTTTATTTTTCCTAACCTTTCCACCTCTTCTACTTCCTCAAAAGTGTAACTTACGATATCAGCAAGGCAAGTATCATTATCCAGGCTTATTTTATAAGATGTAATTTAATTTATTGAACTTATATGCTGCCCAACGTGGTTTACAAATTGTTATAAACATTTAAAAACAAGAAAAAAAAACAAAAACCATTCTATAAAGGTAGTTATGATGGCCATATTCACATCTGCAGTGTGGCACCCTTGATACTAAACTTTTCTATACTACCTAAGGAAGGTGTATCACCCTACAGAGGGAGGTAATATGTTAAGACCTATTTGTTACAAGGATGTAATTTGGAGTGACGGGGAAGTAGTATTATTGTTATTATTTGTTTCCAATGATCTAGCAAAATGAATAGCAGCCCTCAGTAGTGTGGGTTTCCACTTATCTTTGATGAATTTAGTTTGAGGGGAAACTTCCGGAAAGAAACAATTTACAAAAGGCTGCCTTAACAAGCTGTGAGGAAATTTGTAATGGTGTGGGAATGCCAAAATGTTGTTTGAACACGTTTAAAAGCTATTTGTAATATTCTTGGATATAGCTTCACTACATTCTTTTTACAAGTGCTAATTTTAACCCAATCAGAGCATACAAATAACATGTCACCAAGGGCATTTAAGACACCAAAACAAAGTTGTTGCAAAATCCCCAGGTTGCAGGTCTTACACAAGCCAGTAACTGACGTATGAGTTTAATTATGTAAATTTAATCATTATGTTTAATTTAATTCTAATCAACTTAATTTTTAAAAGTTGGCAAACTACCTGTTCAGAATTAAATTTGTTGTTGTTAGTTGCGAAGTCATGTCCGACCCATCGCAACTCCATGGACAACGTTCCTCCAGGCCTTCCTGTCCTCTACCATCTTCTGGAGTCCATTTAAGTTCACATCTACTGCTTCAGTTAAATACTTTTATTTATTTTATTGAAGAAACTTATATGGCCACCCAACTTACTGTAAACGCTGCAACTCCAAATGTAAACCACAAAACGATATAAAACAAATTATTTTAATTAAAATCAAAACTATTCATAAGCAATCAGAGATCCATAATATGTACTATTGCATGTTTCCAGATAGGAATGGCCATCATCCAGGACCAAATGCCTAAGAGTGTTTAGCCTTTAATACCCTTCTACAGATCTACAGGATGATGTTCAACTGGATACAAGACTGGGACCAGAGTTTCTTTTGCTAAACAAAGTGATTGTTAAGTGAGGCATGCAGTTAAGTGAATCACTGCAGTGAAGTGAATCTCTGCAGTTATTAGATGAATTACGAGTCGATCATTAAGCAAATACGGTTTCCCCCATTGACTTCGCTTGTCAGAAGCCAGCTGGGAAGGTTGCAAATGGCAATCACATGACCCTGGATCTGAGGTAAATGCATTTTGCTGCTTCCAAGAGACCAAAGGCGGACTCTCCCTAGCAGTTTACAAAGTATATGTATAGTTTAGGCCAGGGGTAGGCAACCTTGGCTCTTTTATGACTCGTGGACTTCAACTCCCAGAATTCCTGAGCCAGCATAGCTGGCTCAGGAATTCCGGGAGTTGAAGTCCACAAGTCATAAAAGAGCCAAGGTTGCCTATCCCTGGTTTAGGCTGATAGTTCTTTTAGTCTGGCAAGATTCTGTCTGTAGCCAAACAACATTAAAGGAACTACTCAGAAGTAACGCCACATAACAGAATAACAGAATTGGAAGGGACCTTGGAGGTCATCTAGTCCAACCCCCTGCTCAGGCAGGAAACCCTACACCAGGGGTAGTCAACCTTGGCTCTTTTATGACTCGCGGACTTCAATTCCCAGAATTCCTGAGCCAGCTTAGCTTAGCTGGCTCAGGAATTCTGGGAGTTGAAGTCCACGAGTCATAAAAGAGCCAAGGTTGACTACCCCTGCCCTACACCATTTCAGACAAATGGCTGTCCAGTCTCTTCTTAAAAACTTCCAGTGTTGGAGCATTCACAGCTTCTGGTGGCAAGCTGTTCCACTGATTAATTGTTCTAACAGTCAGGAAGGTTTAGTTATTCTTGTTTTGTGGGGCCTGCCAGGGACTCTGCAAACATTGTAAATATATAGTAATAGCAATAGTAATAGCACTTAGATACCGCTTCATAGTGCTTTACAGCCTTCTCTAAGCGGTTTGCAGAGTCAGCATATTGTCCCCAACAATCTGGGTCCTCATTTTACTGACCTCGGAAGGATGGAAGGGCTGAGTCAATCCTAAGCCGGTCAGAATTGAACTGTCGAACTGCTGGCAGCCAGCAGAATTTTGATTGCCAAGCACACGGATTTTGATCAGGTGACCGCAGGGATGCTGCAATGGTCATAAGAGTGAGGACTGATCCTAAGTCACTATTTTCAGTGTCACTAAACCAATGGCTGTACATCAAGGACTACCTGTATCAGGGGAAGGGGATGCTGCAATGGAAAAGGGAGATTTCCTAGGTCTCGTTTCTCTAGCTTTCGTCTCTCCAACTACTTACCAACCACAATTTCCAGTGCCTCTTTTAGCACCAGTCTGTTGTGGAGTAACAATTCCACGCCCGATGAACAGAGGTAAAGAGAAGATTACTCAGCAAGGCTCATTAACTCTGTTCTGTAGAAAGAGATACGAGCACTGGGAGGGGGTTAGAGTACTTTTAACGTGCCTAGCACAATGGTTCCATTTCTCATTAGTTTAATANTATACCTGTACATTTGGTTTTTCTTGCCTAAATGTAGAACCTTACTTTTTTCACCATTGAATTTCATTTTGTTAGATAGTGCCCAGTGTTCAAGTCTGTCCAGATCCTCCTGTATCCTAAGCCTGTCTTCTGGAGTGTTGGCTATTCCTGCCAGCTTGGTGTTGTCTGCAAATTTGATGAGTTCCCCATCTATCCCCTCATCCAAATCGTTGATGAAGACGCTGAAGAGCACTGGGCCCAGAATAGAGCCTTGGGACACCCCACTACACACTTCCCTCCATGTAGATGCAGTTCCACCACACGGTGAGTAGCCAGCTACGAATCCATCTGGTGGTGATGCTGTCTAACTCACATTTTTCTATCTTACCAAGTAGTAGGTTGTGATCTACTTTATCAAATGCCTTACTAAAGTCCAAGTAAATTATATCCACAGCATTCCTCTAAGTCCACTAATTTTGTCACTTGGTCAAAGAATGCAATAAGATTTATCTGGCGTGATCTGTTTTTGACAAACCCACATTGGCTTTTGTCAATACTACATGAAGAAATAGTTATATCCGGCAAAAAAGACTTAATATAAAAATACAAATAAACTTTATTGGCCTCTGCAATAAAAAAAACCCTAATAATTTTAGAAGAGGTGCCAGCTATCAATATGGTATGTTCTACCACCTGTAATCACAGGATGCTGATAAACATTTACTGTAGATGAATTAACTTAGTATTATGATATATGCTGAGCCCAATTATATGTTTATAATGCAAAGGCTTCATTTCTGCATCCCTTCATTTAAGAATCTCAGTAGCTAGATACACTTTCTAAACCATCCTTAATGCTAGATTTGTGCTGTACATATATAAAAACTTCTAGAA